GTTCAGCAGAAGACACTAGGGTCCTTCACTCTTCCAGCAGAACAGTGCACAGTGCATCCTCTGTATCAATCTTTATTGAAGCTATCGCCCCATCATTGAACTCAAAAGATGTTCCTCCATCTACTACCATACATGCATCCCAACAACGGGAACGGACGCAGACTCTGCAAAAATTAAAAAAGTAAGTTTTCACAAAATAGCTTAAAAAATTAAGTATTTCACACAAGCACTTATCTGAACAAAAAGATTGGTTCTTGGACATTCTTTTCTGTGGGTCAGTAAGTGCTTAGTCACACAGGAGCATACTTAAGAATGTAGCATGGTACTAGCACTAGAATCCCCAAACCTATCAGTACTTTGTACAGACATAGCAGAGTCCAGAGAAGACTGAAGGACTTGTTCAGATCAAGACTATTGCTCCAAGAGTCTGAGAACAGCCTATAATATAACACTTGGTATAGAAAGCTGCAGTTTGGAAGTATTTTTTAAAGCAAGCTACTAATGATCCCATTTAATAGTTAGTTACTTAATAAAGATTAAGATTATAGAGAGGTTTTCAATTAATTTATGATTCTAATGTATGGTCTTCATGTTAAGTCGAACATGCAGTTTCAACTAGCAATGCTTGAGGTTCAAATAATTTGGATATTAATGTAGCCTATTTTGTTACATGAATCATTCACAGAAAGAAGGGAAAGTAATTTCAAACTTTGACCTTTCAAAGTTGAAAGTCAGAATGCTTGCCAGGCAACATCATAAATAGGTACTGCAGCATATTACTGTCAATATTGAGAGCTGACTACTATATCTTTAGCTTATAATTTTAAACTTGTCTGATATTATCCCCCTCCCGCTTCAAGTCCAGTTTAAAGCCCTGTCAATAAGCCCCGCTAGCTTGCGAGCAATGACCCTCTTCCCCCTTTGAGAAAGGTTAATCCCATCTGATGCCAGCAACCCAAGTGCCATGTAGGCCATCCCATTATCAAAAAACCTGAAGCTTGGGAACATTTTCTTCCTGTTATGAGAACAATACTCAAGCCCCTCAAAACACAAAATGGATGTTGGAACACTTTTCAAGGGAAACTCCTGGATTACTAGTACTTTCACAAATACACAGAATGAAGTAACTCTTCAGTGACTGCTACAGCCAACACTTACTTTGAAGAGAAGCCACGCTGCCGGCTACTTGAGAAAACTCTGTTTACAATAGGCTCTCGAATACTGAAAAACATCTTTGGTTCTTCTGGACTGTAGAGCAGAGACTCATTGTAATCATTTGTTACTGTAAATAGAGAAATCAGTCATCATTTTTTCCAAGAAAATTAGTTATTCTGAGAAACACACATTCCTCCAGGAAAGAGCAGCTTCTATACCAAGAGGGAATATTGAGTCTTGCCAGATGTTTAATAGCGTTCACCTGCAAAAGTTTACATTAATTTTACAGAAGATTCCTTTCATTTCTGTTGAATGACAAACACTCAACAGCTCTCTTCAGGTGATTAAATACTAAGTGTCTCAAATCTTAAGAGAACTGAAATTCTCCTGAAGATCTATACATATGTAAGCTTAAGTGCTTTCATATCAATTCAGACATTTTTCACCAAATGTGCCTAAATAACGTTTGTAAGAAAGACTAATACTGGAAGAGCCCTAAAATATTGAAAGTATTGAAAGCAGTGCAGAGTATTAAGAGTAGAAACAAAATGAATCGGTCAAAGTTAAGACACCTTAAAGAAATCTTGCTTTTTTCACTAACCTTTTTGTACTAGTTCCGTGTTCAATGGCATATTCAAACTTCCATGCTTTTTAGCTGTTGAGCCAAAAGAAAGAGCCACAATTCGATAAATGTATCTTATATAAACTTGGCCAGTAAAGCTACATTGTTCACTCACCAATCTTAAGGATCTCTTCCACAGCTTGATGTGCTACCTTGTTAATATTATAGGACCTAGAGAGAAGTAGAAGCCTTGTTTGCTAAGCAATACAACTTGGGAGAAAAACAAAAGCAAAACAAAAAATCTTGCATACAGATGAAGAACTGCATTCAACATCAGAAAGGAAAAAAAAAAAAAGAATGCTATTAAGTGTGAGCCAACATCAGCTGGCTCTTCAAAAAGATGCATTAAATTAATTCTTGGTTTGACGTCTACCTGTGGCTTTGTAAACCTTAACAATCCATTAAGTGAAGTCTTCAGGAAAGAAGAGCATGATACACAGGATGTTGTCTCCTTATTAAAGCAACAATAATTGCTAATTTAAGTCTGCATTAAAAAAAATGAAGCACGGCACTTCTACAGATTGTGTGTGTTCTTATCCCTTCTATCTGCTTCTTGCTAATTAGTTCCGTCTGTTAGGTCTCATTTATGGGACCCAACACTTCCTTACAAATATTATGCCTCTTTGTCCATACCTTAAGGTGTGGGCTTGAGTCTCCCAAGAATCAGTGTATATAAAAAAAGGAGCAATTAGACCAGACAGTTTTACATTTGTCACATTTGGATGCACAACAAGTCAGCATAAAGCCTCAGTCTGAACCAAGTCTAAACCCCAACAAAAGTCTGCCTTCTGTGCCCAGGCTCAGAAGTGATTAGGTACTAATCACAGACTCTGTGCAGCAGTACTGTGAACACCTCAGTTGTCCAGGTCTAAATACAGGTTAAAATCCTCAGTCCAGCACTTCTGTTACAGCAGTAAAACTCCTCAGACTGCAACAGATGTCCACTACACATCTAACAGACTACAGAGCTGCTAAGGGTGATTGTCCAAGGCTCCTTCTCTTATATTTATGGCATATCTGCAAGCCTGAGCAGATACTAGCAAGAAACTGAGATGCACAGTTTGAAATTGTTCTCTCTCTCAACTAGGTATCCTTTTATGCAAGTTTTGGCAGCTGAAGGAAGCACTTGGGCAATTCAATGCCCCTCAGTCCAAAGACGTCTGAAATCCCAGTAGAGCCGCTAAGCCACAGGCTAAGGAAGATCACTCCTCTGAGGCTTGGCCTCAGTTTAGAGAAGTCCATCAGTACACGACTGATTACAGCAATGGCGATGGGCAATGCTGGATTTTTGTACTGAGCAATCCCAGAACCAGGGACCAAGTGTATGAGCAAATGAAATGCAGAAGAACAGCTCTGAACTAAGACTGTACATTCCCCAAGGTACTGATCACTAGAAAGTTCCCCTAGCAGTCTGCCAATTTCATCCTTGGCAGCCTCCAGGACTAAGTTAATGCTGACTGAATACAAAATTCTGAATTACAATGCAGAGTAAAACCCAGTAGCCATGGTTACAGCATGAATATTCAGTTTTGAATTTCATTAAAAGCTTCAGTTTTAGTTCATCTTAGCCTGCCACATAAATCCACGGCCTGTTGTACAACTTTAAACTATAAGCACAGCCAGACTTCCAAATCAAAGAGGCTCTCCCTGTACATATGTCTCACATCTCAAAACTACATTGATTAGACTTACATGCAGTACTGCAGCTTGTTTAAACCAAATTTAAGATAATTTGATCAAAACCCCTTTGATTAAGCTAGCACAGCTCTGCTTAGATATGCCCGTTTTTGTTTAAGGGAAATATTTTGGCAAAGAGACTGTGCCCTTTCAATTAAGTTTGAAAGAGGCAAGAGGCTTGGAAGGAGACTGGACAGTAGATGTGCCAGAGAACACTTAACACTGTTTCCAAGTACATGTTTTCCCATTCTTCTTAGAGCTAAGGTTTTTATAAGTTTTCTGAGCTACTTCTTCTAAGCACTTTAATTTTAGCGAACAAGAGTAGTTCAAAGATCCCCCCAATATGCAGATTCCCCAAATATGTTCTGCAAGTCAGGGCAGAATCTCTTTCCTGCACCATCCCCAACCATTCACCTCCACGTGTGGCATCCAACCTCTTTCACCAAAACTACACCTAAGGTAAACTTCTGCCTCAGTGCCTCAGCTCCTCACCCTTTCAAATCTTCTCTCCATACCTTCAAGTGCGGGGTGCTCTGCTCTTAAACACCTAAGACAGCTTTGAACCAATATTTGACATGCACTGACTTAACCATAGCCCAAGAGAGTCTCAGTATGGACAAAATGCTCACACAAAATAGGTCCATCTAACTTATCTGAAGCTATACTTTGCATCAAAGCAGAAATATGTACTTACCATGCTTTTGATCCTGTTCCAGTACACACATTAAGCCCTGAACTCTTCTGTTTTTCCCAAGGACCATCATCAACTGATATCTCATAATAGGAGGCCCTATGAAGCGAGAATTTAAAACTGGGTTTGCAGGACTTAAAGTTCTCCCTGAATAAGACAGAACACACAGCCTTATCAGGCACATAAAAATTGGAGGGGCTAGTTTCAAATCTGGAGGACAATTCCACAGGCTTTGCACAGTGTTTCCAATTTAGTTGCCACTTTTAATTCACTGTTTTATATCAGTTTTTATAATGGACAAAAGTGATTTGCAGCATGAACATTTAGATAGTTTTTTCTGCAGCCACTTTTCTTATTAAATTATGCACAAAAACCTCTGTGGTTCATCTGGGAATACCTTCATATACAAGCAGGGTTTGCTGAACTTACAAATGAAACTACAAATACATTACCTTCCTTGCATAATTGTTGAACTACCGAAAAATCTGTGTTTATGGGTCTCATAAAATTACATCAGGGAACACTAAGAGGTAAGGCACTCCAACATCAGTAAGTAACAGCACGGCTTCAAGTTGCATTCTTGATCACTTCAGTAATTAAAAATCCACTGTGATTCTCCAAGAACAGTTTTAGTTTTACAACAGTCAGCAGGCTTACATTTCTCTCCAGGGCAAAGTCTTCCTAAAACTCAGATGTAGTAAGTCTTGGGGCACAATCACCACTCTGCATGGTATTACTCATCTATCAGGGGATTCCTAATGTTAGGCCTAGAGACACCAGTCAGTCTCTCTCTGTAAGCTTCAGAACACCCAGGCCTATATTGATGAGCTAAAGTTGTTGATGTTCATAGTGCCTAATTCAAACAGTATAATATAGTCTTCAGATTAATAGATACCCTCTAAGAAAAACACCACATACACCATGTTCAGCATGACTGAATTTCACCTTTCTTAGTAAAAAGAGCTTACTGAGCTTTTTTAGGTGATGAATATTTCAGTCTGGATTGCCAAGGAATATACCCCTTGAATATCTGTTGTCAAACAGTTTAGACTCTTAGTAACTGAGCGCACTTTGCGTACTCACTCTTGAGGAGACAGAAGATGAAAGAACTGGAAGCAAATTAAGAACACAGGTGCACAGCTTGATTTAGTTTAAAATGATTTTTGCAACCTGGGTATGAAAGATTTTTTTCTTGTCCTTCAATTTCCCTGTTTTCTTAACTGACATGCAGAGTAAGACCTTGGAAGAAGCACTTAGAGCCATTTTGTCTTAATATAGAGCAGACTCGTGTATTTGAACCTTACAGAAGATTCATCTGTGTGACATCATTATTTAAGTCTTTTAAGTGTAAGGTCCTATTAACACAATATTTATTACCAGAGATTTGTTCCTACAGGTACTGTGTTCCTCAATGCTTCTCAGATATACTGGAACCAAAGACCACAATGTATTTGTGACACTCAGAAGTGGAGGGCTATTATAAAGTGTTGGAAAGCAGCTTTGTGTTCCTCTATCACTGTATGTTAAAGAAACTTTTCAGAATCTTGGTAAAATTAGGTTTGATGTAGGAGAGAGCAAAATTTGTATCTCTTTGAGACTAATTCCTTCTGCCAGTCTGAGGCTGCAGTCCAGATGGAAGATAAAGCACTCATGGAACACTTATACTGTTTCCAGCAGCAATCACAGTGTCCCAGGCACTGTACAAACACAAGAAGATGTTACACTCTAAATTTTTTTTTTTTTTTTAAAGTATACAGAATAAAGGGAAAAGGGATATAAAATACAAATAAATGTTTGGCCAAACCCTGGCCAAGGATCATGTTTTATCTCCTTTCCCACAGCCCCATCACATCCCCCACATCCTTCTTGTTATCGTTTAGCTCACAGACATGCACTGATCTTCAGGACAGAAAGGACAGTCAAAGATATTCTGGATAATGCAGTGCCAGGATTTGATAAAAACTTGTTTCTTAAAACACGGAAATTAAGTCTTTTCCCACAATAACAAAGCTTCTGCCAAAGGCAGGCTGATACCTTTGCCTCTAATGACAGACAGGCAGGAAAAGGAGTACTTGGTCATGCTAAAAGCAATTTGTGCTTGGTCATGCTAAAAACTTATGAAAAGGTATTTAAGAAGATATGCATGAGAGGGGGCAGTTTAAGGACAGATATTTAAATCTTCAATCCACTGTAAAGAAAGTAACTGAAGGCATTTGGTTACATAAGAACTAATCAGGAAAGGAGTAAAGCAATGAAGAGGAAAGAATACAGCCGCGAATAACGAAAGATGAAAGAATGGCCAGACAGGAAGGTGGAAAACCAGAAATTAACATCACTGCACTTACATCTCTGAAAATACACTTTGTAATCAGCAACAATGCAATCAATGTTATATATTCATGGACTAGAACTGAAATTTGACGCAAAGACATCCCACCACTGATTGTCCATTGCAATGTCATAAAAACAAATTAAGTCTATTGTGCTTTACTGCAAGAACAAACAATTAAACATACCTGGATGAAAGAGATTCCCCAATGAAGACTTCATTGAGTGCTCTCACTGGTAAAAGATGTGGACCAGAAATGTCAGATCCTGCAGACATTGAATATAAGAGTTTTGAATCATGGCTCTAAAACACAGATTTTCAAAAACAATTCACAATTCATTGGAGGACACGCTCTGCTGCCTGGGTTTGCATTCTAGACCTAGTCCTCCATTCTCCTCAAGGACTCAATTTTTCACTGATTTAATCTGTAGCCAGTCACTGTCCTTTACTGGAGTCTACAAATATTTGAACCAAGGTCAATAAGGCAAGGACACTTATGTTCAGAAATTGCTTTCCCTGAAAACTCATGGGCAACCTGACAAATTGAAGTCTCCTCTGTTGTCAGTCACTCTTCCAGCCTAGTTAAATTCACTGACAGTGACTTAACAGACGTTTCTGATATCATTCAAAGAATTAGACTTTATACCACAGGGTAATTAAGGGGGACTAACAAGCTGTTCATGTTGACAAAGGACCTCTCAGTGAGGAAATGCAGTGCTGGACACAGGTTAAGGATAGAATCATGCATCTTCAATCCATCACAAAGGAAACAGTCAAAGGTGTTTGATGATTGAAGAATTACCCACGGAGAGATACTCACTTCTAATTTCTCATTTGCTTGCTGGCAGTCTGTGACCAGCTTTTTCAATTGTGAAGTAACCTACCTCAAATTTAGTGCAAGTTAAGAGTGCGTGTGTGCACACACGCTTTTAGTGTGGAGCAGCTAAACACATAGTAATATTTTCATGTAGTAACGCAAGCGTCTACAGTAACCCTAACAGACAGCATTTTAAAAAAGCTCAGGTATTTTGCCAGCAGATACTACTATTTAAAAACATCTCTAAATTAACTTAACACTGAAAACTGTTTCTAAGTGTACAGTCCAGAATAAACACATAAAAACAAAAAATAGCCCATTTTAAAAAACTTTGATCTACATCCTCAGCTAATGAGAGCTGTCTCTCCTTGCCTCTCAAATACAGCAGCCAGACTTCAAATACTTCAACTCTTACAAATCTTTATCTCCTATTCCAAGTTATCATAGCAAAATGGTTATATTCTTGTCAGATCTTAACCTACTTTGGTCCTGGAATCTTTCATTTATGTGAGCCCTGCTGTGTTGCTCTTGGCTTAGCTGCTGTTCATGTAAATCTACAGGGGTTGGGTTAATACCAGTTCCTTCAAGATACAGTCGGATTCTTTGCCGCCACTGCCACCTTAGAGAGGATAAAGAAGTTGGTATCAGTAGCTGAAATATTCATTACAGAATTAGACAGGATCAGAGAGTATTCACTCTCAAAGCGCAGAGCATCTTACGATTAAAAGTTAAACATATTCAAAGTCACATTTCAAGTTTTATAGCTTCCACAATAAATTCTAAATTTAGAAAGTTCATCATCCTAAAATCTTACAGTTATCGATTTGCTACCTAATGCTTTTGTAGGTGTAAAATAAGATGACACTGGCCAAAAGCAGTATACAAACATTATAGATAACAAGTCATCTTTTTAGGCGTGTGATCCTAACTTTGAATTCATGACTGGTGCAATGATTTTGAGAACTACAAGCTCTCAGGAATTTATACAGCAATACATGCTGAATTTTAACATCTTTTGTTTGTATTTGTAGATGTCCAGAAAAGCAGCTCTATGCACCCCTTTACACATAAAGGTCCCAAGTATCCTCTCATTTTAAGAATCTCTCCCAGCCTAGAAACTTTAGGATACTTAAGTTCAAGTAATTCAAATAAAGAAAGAGAAGGATATGAAAGGCATTATTCCTTAAGGTGTTACAACATTCAGATTTCTTACTTTTTCCTAGAGGAAGTATGAATTCCTTTTTTCCTCCTACAATTTAAAGATCATATAAACTAAAATAGTAATAGTAGTTTTGATTAAAAAAGCAAACCATAAGGGTGTGTTATGGGCACATCTTTTCCCAGTTCATACTGTTGATATCCAGGTGACAGTAACCAGCTTACATGTTTCTGGAAATTACAGTACGGAAGACTTACATTTTATATGACTACATTACTAGTTTTATCTCATTGTCATCCTTGTAGCGCCTCATTCAACAAACTCTTAGTATAGTTACCTATCTGCCCTTAAATTCCAAGTGTGGTTTTATGTAGTCAGGCAGGCAGCATGCAATAATTATCATTATGCTAGAACCCCTACAAAACTAGAAAATGGGACTGTACCCCTATTATACCCCTATTCTGAGATCCTGTTACACCACTGACCACCAAAAAAAAGAAACATGGGTAGTCTGATATAGTTTGTCCATGATACATCAATAATGTTGGTTGTTTCATAGGACTACAAGGTAACTGCTTACACAGATTGTTGCACTAAAGTGGCTGACACTTCAGGATAAGGAGAAAAAACATTCCCCATTTCCAGTCTCTGGCACCTCACTGTCCTCATGCAACTCAGAACCACCAGAAGCTCTTCCAGACGGGCTGATCCAATTACCCACCTATTTTAAAGTTTCCTTAAGGCCAAACAAATCTGAGAACTGCCAAGTGAAACACCCCCTCAGGTCCTTGCGTAGGAATACCAGTTCCTATTATTCTGGATAAATAACCATGGAGATCCTTTCTGTTTCACTCTGGTGAGGTTTCAGCTCCACAATGAGCAATGACAGGAGTGTCAGCAACAGAAGTATAACATGGCATCCAACAAAACATTAGAAGTCCCTAGATTATCAAGGGAAGTTACCTGCATTATCACTACCAGCTTTACCTAAGCAACTTAGCACTATGGAGAGTTAAATGCCTAAGTCTCAGAATATGTGTTGAAAGTACCTTTTCATTTAGCAATACCTACTGAAACTCCTTCAGTTATTTATGATCAATCCAGATGACTATTCACCTCATTTCAGAACTCTACTACGGCACAAATACAGATACACTTCAAGCTACAGAGTAAATATGCTAGAAGTATAAACAAAATCCAATTGCGATATATTTTCACGTGAATGACTTATTTCTGTTTGATGGTTTGCCACCACAGAAGTATTCTTGAACATTAATACACCACAGAACGATGTCTCTTTTTAAATTGTTATTAAAAAACTCTTCCCTAGTCTGTCTTTTAAAGTTCAGCTTGCTTCCATCTTAATTCAAGTGAGATTCTTCTATTTTAAGAATATCTAGTATTGAAAACATCAAGCTATCTTCAGCATAAAGAAAAGCTTTGCCTTAAACTGATCTGTTAACAAAGTTTAAACCCCTCTACCTTAATCACCAAAGCCCCAGATGCAACACACAGACCATTTCCTAACTGTATTGGCTTTATTAGCTTCTATTAGTATGACCTGTCACTGTACTACATATGGTTTCGGGTGTTAAAATATGTAAAGCAATACACCCTTTACAAGAACGCAGTTTATGAATTTGTTAAGTCAGGAAAGAAAATTATTGAAGTTCATAACAAAAGTCTTTTTGCTGGAACTAGCAGTCAATTTTATCCTTTGTATTCCAATCTCATTCTTGACCACAAACCCATTTTTCAGCACGGTAAACATCTACACAGAATTCATAATTTGAGGCATTAAGATTTTACTAAGCATCATCTGCTCTTTAGGAATTACATATCATTAAGTATTTTCCAATCATAATATGTTTTGGAAAACCAAAGATCAGTGAATCCTACCTGAACTCACCACGATAAAGCTTCTGTAGTGCTTCAGGAAACAAGTGTGTATATCTCACAGGCAAGCATAAGTGACCCTCCGATCTGGTAGCAAAAAAGGACAATGAAAATAACAGTATAACTACTAAGATTTGGTACCTTTAAAAACAAAACCAAACAAATCAAACATCTCTTTCAATTATATAAAGCAAAGCTACACTTTGACCTTTATGAATTTATACTATTCTTACATAATAGCACATCAGCAACAATACACCTCTTTCAGCTCCTGGGGTGTATGTGCGAGAGACATAGGGTATTTCTCCCACGTTGCCCCTAAAATCCGGCTGTTCAGCTAGTAAACCTGCAGTAATATGTAGGTACTAATATAATTCCTGTCACCATAGTTCTAGGCAAGGAATTCAAGCCTAACAAACCTTGCAAGTTAGGAAGAAAATTTCCTCCATTTACACACAAGTTAGTGATACAAGACAGGTAAGTAAAATGCCTAAGATCAAAAGAATCTCATGTCAAAGCCAGATGACTGAACACTGCTCCCCTTTCATAAGTGATATTTAATAACTTGAAGGCACTTGTTATTTGAACCCTGCTATTCAGGCTTGATACTGCAGAACTTCTATTCACAGCATTTGAAAAGTTTTGGAAGAGGAGTAAGGTATAGAAGGAATTAAAACTTTTGGCCACCACTTTCTTATCTACTAAAATTAAATGAACTGGTAATATCAAAAGCAGAAACCTAAATCTGGAAATCTCAGCAGACAGAGCCTTGGTGAACTCAGTTCACTTGCCATCCATTTGAAGGTTATACCAACCAGGCAGTACTAATACACTGCATCCACCTGCCCAAATCAATCTTATGGCTAGGTGGATGCAACTTCTGTGGAGTTTATAATAGGACAACTAAATGCCATTAATTGGCTGAGGAGACTGCGTCCTCTGAGGTATGACATGGTTTATATGAAGAAACCAGAACAAACTTTGTCTGAGGCCCTATCAGATTTCCGACACAATTTGCCTTCTTCATAAAGAAACCAAGTTCCTGTGTGTTCAGGCACAATGCTTAGCTGCTTTTAAGTCCCTTTTCCTGGCTCTGTTCTATACTGCCATCTCTAGCCTCAAAGTTCTAGTAATACAAGTTAACTAACTGCAAGTGCTGTTACACTGGTGTGTGAAAACAGCTGTGGCAGTTTAACACAGCCATGCTTATCCAATACTACTTAACATCCTCTCAGATGAGACAGGATAACTCGCCATGGAAACTTTTCTAATAAACCAACAGGTTCACTTGATTTCTACAATCTGCTAAAACAGGCATTTATGCTGCCAAACGCTACAGGCATGCCTCGTGCATCATGAAAACAAATGCATATTGTGCCCCATATTAAATAAAGCATTGATTTCACAAATGTGTGTTTACCTTTCAGGATCAGTATTTACTCCAATAACTGGTTTAAATTTATCAAAGACCTTACTGGCTGCCAACAACATTGTACCATCACCTACAGAAAAAGCAAAACAAAAGTTAGTTTCACTTCTAGTACCCCAAGCAAAATAGTCTTATCTGTACTGCAGCATTACCACTACGTGCTTTTATATCACCAACTGATCAGGTAAGCTGCACAAAAATAGAATGGGACCACAAAACTACTGACACCTTTCAAAGCAGTGTAGTGACAACTGAGTTCAAGATGGCAAATGTGACTGGACGAAGTATGACTTATCTGACAGCTATACATGCCCAGGCAACTGAATTTGGCAGAAGCAAGTTTGAAAAGAGATTTATGAAAATTTTTGTGTCTTTATCACCTGGTAAGAGAAATTCTTTAAGAAAATAAATTTAGAAAGTATCACTAACGAAAGCCACAGGAGACAGGAAACAATACCAAGTTTTGCTGTGAATCACATGAAAACAATGACTTCAGTTCCATCTCAGTTGTTCTCACAGAAGGCACAATTTAAAGGTCTCATTTGGCCCCAAATAGGCATGCTTGGAAAAGAAGTCTTATCTTCACATGTCACTGGTTTCTTCAGATATTGGTATTCTTTCCTGTTAAACAGAATGACAACTATAATCTGCATCAGTCTTTGCACCAAGATATAAGTGCTGGAAACCTGACAATGTAGCACTTCCCAGTTGCTTGCCTCATAAATGTTGCCACAGCCAAATTGGCACTTTTATCTCCAGATCAGAGGCTTCCTTTGAAATCTACAGGAGTGAATTAGGATGCTTCAGGAATGCACACATATCCCTTTCTACCCATTCTGCATGGTAACCAGGAGCTGAGGGCAATGTGGGCCAGAAGGGAGGAGAGAAAGGCAGAGCAGTGGTCAAGTCTAACTGCCACAGGTGACTGAACATCATGTCACAGCCCCACAACACACGAAAATAACACTGAATGAACTGCTGCGACCCAATGTTAAAAGGAAACAATCAGGTTAGTTACTCTGTTAGTTCATTTAAAAAGCTCTAATCACTGGCACAGGCTGCTCAGAAGTTGAATACTTTTACCTGTACCATCCAACTAGATACTCCTGTCACTGGAATTAAGTGTGAAAGCAAGAAAGACATTTAAGAAAGGGGAAGAAAAGGTACTATGTTAGTTAGTATCCACCTCACATACCAAAAACCAAAGAGTGGGGTTTAGGGTCATGTATAGTCGTATAACGGCAAGCATGTTATCCTCTTCAGCTCAAAAATGTAGTAAATTCCACAGTTTATACTGTTTTACACAAGACAATTAAACATTTCCAAAGTAGCCATGCACTGGGATTCACTTGCTAGTGCTACAATTTAGGTAAAATTTTAGAGGTAGAGAGGATGGTCACAACCATTGTATTTTGTTGTATTTTCTGACAGCTGGATAAGCAATTTGTTTTCAAAATGTGCATACCTCCAGATGCTTCACACACTGCAAAATATTTTCGAAAAATGTGTCTATGAAAACATACTGAAACAATTCCCTTCCATAAGGTCGTACCTCCTGCTGATATAACAGCATCTGCCCACCGAACTGTCTCTTCATTATATTCTCGACGTTTAACAAGACGAACTTCTATCCTCTCGTTCCTATAAAGTGCAGAAAAAGACTGAATATGTCCTATATTGTTCCTTGTCGCATCCTTCTGAAAAAACTGACATGCAATTAAGGAGTAATTACAGTGGTATTTGACTTAAAAGCATTTGACATTCACACAAATCCTTTACATCTTTTTCATTTGTTTTCAAGATAACAATGCAGTGTGTTAGTCAACTGAATGGAGCTAGTTCACATTACAATTGTTTCAGGAATGACTGTTCACTTGCATCATTCTGTTTTCAGTATTCCTATTTTATTAAAGCTTGTAATACAGAGCTTCCTTTCATTGTTTTACACAACCCATGGACATTTGCATTGTGTCTGAAATTCTCAACACCCGTACATTCTTACCGTAAACTGTCTACAATATGCTCCACATTTTTTGTATGAATGCGATGTCGCTCCAGCAGACCAGCATAGTTAGATCCCTTCAAGGCAAGCTGTAAGACATAAATTGATTTTGTAGAAGTTAATCACTACAGTAAGTGCTCTTGAGTAATACAAACAGAAACTATAAAAAAGCATGTATTTTACTCTCAGTAGAGCCACATGCTTTTATAAGCATTCCATTAATTACACCTCTATATACATACCAGTCAGCTTACATTGACTAGTTCATTAAATGAATTACACGGCCACAGGAGCCAAGAATCACAAACCTTTTAAGGCACTACACAAATATGCAAACCAGTATGCTACACTGATTTTTGTCGCTTCAGACACTTTGCTTTCTCTGAATCTGCTAAAGTAATTTAAACACTAGGTAAACCTGCATAAAATAGTAATGATAACTATACTCCTGTCATATGTTAAAAGCACCTGAATGGTTAGCTAATTACCTTAAGAGATATAAACATTCTGTTATAGAGAAAGAGGACATGAGAAAAAGCAACAGGAATGATAATTAAGAAAACAGGAATCTTTGAAACACTTAACAGCATTGAACTTCAAATTGTATTTGAGTTAAAATGGAAGACTGCCAAGTGCTGACAAAGGTGACATTTCCCCTGCATCAAATAAAGCTTAAGGACAATCTACCTACTAATTTATATATTGTCACCTGGATTATAGACCAGATTTTCCGAACAAATTCACATCAGTAACAAGACAAAGAGTATTTAGCAGTTGCATTCTAGCATCATTCTTCTTGGAAGCCGGGGAATTTACATACTTAATCTTGACACACTCTTTAGACCATGGAAACATTTTGCCGTTCATATAAACAGACTCTTCTGAGCAGGCAGGTAAGACTGCTGGCTGAAGATTAGATTTTTTTTTTTAGTGACTAGTACTGCCAAATATGTGTTTGCATGGAGATTAAGCAAGTAGAAGAAAGAGGATGAAAAAGATGCTAAGCAAAATGAGTTTATAAATACAATAATAATGAAAATAACCCTGCTTTCAGCAGCAGGCTAAACTAGATGACCTCCTAAGGCTCTTTCTAGCCTGAATTATTCTACAATTTTGCAGTCATTGCTTCTTTTTCCCCAACCAGTTAAAACCAATTTACCAGCACAGAAACAGAAGTCCTCCTAGAGTTTGTGTAGACAAAGCCATCTGTGCCGGCAGCTTTGTATAGACACTTCCAGCAATTTATTCAAGTACCTTCACTAAAAGTTGCACACCCTTCCAAGAGAAACTAGTGCCAGACAGCCACATCTAATCCTGTTTCCATAGGGACTCCCACACCACAGAACTCCACAGCAAAGGGGAGAGGACTGGCAGGATATGACAATTACAGTTAACTGCAATGCAATACCCAATCAATCAATCCTTCTTCACCTGACACCTATTAATGTCAAGAAATCCAACCATGAGCTAAGCACAAAAGCAGACTCGGAGCTGAAGAAATCATGAAAAGAATGGAGTTGGCTGCTCTGGAGCTGCATCACTGTCCTGCCCAGTGTGTTTACAATCAGCAATTAACTTGCAGAAACAAAATCTTCAGGTGGTCTTACAGCTGGGATCAGGAAAACACCTCCAGAGAGGCTCCTAGACTTTGACTGGATGCCACCAACAGCACTACAGGCAGCGAGTGGGAGTAGCTGCCAGTTGGGCTTGGTCACGCACACAGATAAGCATGTGGGTGATCAGAAAACATCCAGACAAGTTTTCAGATCATCTTTACACAGCTTGTTAGTACTGGTTTACTGGGGTACAGGTTATGTCCTGTTAATTGCCTCACACAGTTAAACTCTTTCTTTCTACACCCCAGCTACAATGCTGCATATTCCTGCACACCTCTTGCTCCTTCAGATCCCATGGTGTTGCACTGGGAACTTGAACAGTGCCACTGTACTGCTGTGGGGAGGGAAAAGAGTACACAAGGCTATGGCCAGCTGCAGCACTGCCCATTGCCGGCTCTGCTGTCAGCCTCTCATGATCCATTTGGAGCAGAAAGGAGAAAGTGGAAAGAAGAAAAGAAGGAGGTATTCACCTCTCATGGACAACATCTGCTGCTGAGCACCACAGGTCTAATTTGATAGAAGAGGGATATTCAATTGCACGTTTGAAGCACAAATTGACCTTGCTTTACCACAGAAAGAACAAGAAATCTGCAGCAAATAACCTCAAAAAAATCAACTGTGTTACTAAAATCAGGGTTCCCATTCGTGCTTCCTCTAGAAATATCTGCTGCGAATCAAACATGGGCACCTGACAAGCAGCCTGCTGCTGCAGCATACATTCTTCAGTCTGCTATTTCCACAGGCTATTACTTCCACACACAACAGAAATTACAAACTCCATCTTGCCATTTTATGTACCTCACTTATTTATCAGCATGCTATCTTTCAACTTCGAAGACAGTTTTTACCTCAGAACAACGACAGTGTAAGGAATCTCTGTATGATCATTTGCAGGTTTTTGAGCCACCAACATCAGTGGTGAACACACAGCTAACATTTCACTGCATGGAGAGGTACAGGTAGTCTCACTGCTGTGGAACAGTCTGTTCTGTAACTTACATTTGCCTTAGGTATGCTAAATTATACATCAACATCAATACATAAATTATACACCAACAGCTTCAGAAAGCAGAAGAGGATGTTCAGCAAATAAGCTGCTAGTATCCTGATGACTGGCTGAACAATTTCTGTGGATACTTCTAGTCTTGCTAACAGCAGCACTGCAGAACAAGTATCTAATGTTTAGAGGTCTCCTCTCTGAATTTCGCTCTAGAACAAGTAAGCAGGTATCACTAAGCAACAAGATAAATGAGAAGTTAGGACCTTGAATTTAAACGGCTAAGCTACATCTACAGAGCTAATGGAGCGTGTCCAGAGAAGGGCAACGAAGCTGGTGAGGGGTCTGGAGCACAAGTCTTATGAGGAGCGGCTGAGGGAACTGGGGGTGTTCAGTCTGGAGAAGAGGAGGCTGAGAGGAGACCTTATCGCTCTCTACAACTACCTGAAAGGGGGTTGTGGTGACGAGGGTGTTGGCCTCTTCTCCCAAGTAACTAGTGATAGGACAAGAGGAAATGGCCTCAAGTTGCACCAGGGGAGGTTTAGATTGGATATTAGGAAAAATATCTTCACTGAGAGGGTGGTCAGGCATTGGAACAGGCTGCCCAGGGAGGTGGTGGAGTCGCCATCTCTGGAAGTGTTCAAGAAACGTGTGGATGTGGCGCTTCAGGACATGGTCTAGGGGACATGGTGGTGCTGGATTAATGGTTGGACTTGATGATCTTGAAGGTCCTTTCCAACCTAGTGTTTCTGTGATTCTGTGAATCATCCTAATCTGCAAAAGGCTCCAGAGATTAGAACAGTCTGCTCATTTCTAGCCTCACCCTTCTAGTTCAGAGATATGTAACTCAAGTTCATTCATCTAAGAACTTACAAAGGGACAGCCTGCCTGAGCCCAACCATAGTCAAGTATATTAAACAGGAATGCTAATCAGCTGCTTTTCACATAACTACTCCAAAGAACCAGACTGGCTTGTGGTCTGAGGCCACAGAATCACAGAGTGGTTGAGGTAGGAAGGGACATCTGGAGGTCATCTGGTCCAACCACACTGCTCAGGCAGGGCCACCTGTAACTGCTTGCCCAGGATCATGTCCAGATGGCTCTAGAAGATCTTCACAGATGGAGCCTCCACCACCTCTCTAGGCAACCTATCCCTGTGCTCAGTCACCATGACAGTGGATAAGTGTCTCCCAATGTTCAGACAAACCCTCCTCTATTTCAGTTTGTGCCCACTGCCTCTGGTCCTGCCTGAGGACTGAGGATGGACATGAGGACATCCAGGACCTGAATGCCATACTAAAACTATGACAAATACTGCTTCTTAAAAGAGCTCTGCACTGAGAATAAAGAATGAGACAGAGACCACCACCTCTTCTTTTCCTTTAAAAGAGCTGAAGGCAAAGATCAGACAGTCCAGTTGCTGTGTCCAAGATCACCTCCTTAAAGAGCCTGGGAGGTGATGTACAGAAAACCCCAGACTGCAGGACAGCCTGGCTCCCAAGCCCAGTGATCAAACAGGCCCAGGAACCCATGCTGAACTTGGACCCCTCAAAAAGGCCCACAGGTTTTTAGCTTCTGCATGAAGACAACTTGCAAATTCTTCTTCCTTTGGAGGAAGGTCTGATTTACGATTGTCACAGCTGTCCTTCCAGAAGGAAAGGGTTTGACTGGCCACTCTCCACTTTCAACATCTGAAAGCAAGTGTGACAGTCTTACAGTGCAGGTATCTTTATAACAGGTATTGACATTCTTGGCTAAAATGTGAAAAAACTACTATTATGACAGACCCATGTTGACTTTATTTGGCATTTCAAGCTGTACGGAGTAGCAATTTGACCTGAGTATCAAGTCTACCTGAAGAAAAGTGGAGTTATATCAAACACCCAATAACATTTATGTAAGTAACTTTGTATACAGTGGCTTCTTCAGGTTTTCTTTTTTAAAATCCTCATTAAGACTTAAATGAGGTAAAAATAACAGAGCTCTGATGCTTTACCGGAAAAAGTTCTCAGCCCAAGTAATCCTTCTATCTCATTTTACCAGTAACCTTTTTATGAAAAATCACTTCCTTCCATGGAATAAGCAGCTATGTTTAGTCCATTAAACTGAAGAAAACCTCATAAAACTGAAAAGAAACATAAAGTGTCAAGGTGTAATAGTATATACTCCTGCAAAATTTACCCATAATACAGAAAACCTATAAAATTGCAAAGAATGTTAAGAAGCCTACCAGTACAGTACAAGAAAATACTGCAAAACAAAAAACATTTAAACTTAGTGGTATTCCTCCAGGCTAGAAGATAAAAACGCTATTCCTACAGAGCTCAGGAGTACTCAAACCGGAGTACGTTTGGCATTTCTTGGTGTTGAAGTTGTAAAATCCTGCGTGAGGGGTCACACACAGGTCTGGAGCCCTGCACTGCACCTTAAGTAATTTCTGCTAGTGGTTATCTGGAAAGATTAATGAGAGCAAAGAGAACATGGCATTTGCTGCGTCCCACTTGCTGAGGCTCCTGCAACAGGAAAAAATAGGGGTAAAACATACAGGAAATGTCACATCAGAGCACAAGGGTAGTCAGGTATGGATGCCATTAGCAGAAGTAACCAAAAGCAGAGGTATTTATGGAGAATGGGAAGAAATAAGAAGTCCAATTGTAAGCTTATTAATCTGACCTCAATAGCATGCAAGACTGTAAAATAAAATGCATGAATATATACATGAAAGCTATTCCAGCTAAAAGTGCTTTAGCATATGAAAACGGGCAAACTGGCCAAGAATACATTCAGTCACATCTTCAGTAATGTTCTTAAACCTCGCAGCAGAGATGCAATGCAAGGCAGGCTTCCAGAGGAGCTTGACTTGGAAAACACACTCAGGTGAGCAGAATATGTTCTATGATGGAGTTATTCTTCCTTAGGAGCCTGAAGAAGAAAAGGCCTAGACTTAATGCCTAAAAAAAAAAAAACTCTTCTCATATCTTCTGGTCTGATCCTTTTTTAATGAAAGGATAATTTTTCACAGAGCTTCTTTAACAGTCTTTTAGACAAGAGATATTGACTGCCATCACTCTAGAGTCTTAGCTCTCACCTCTGGCAAGCCTCACCCCATCTTCAACTGTGGGTCTTCTGTCCTTGAGTAATGCCGGCCCTCCAGGAACAACCCCACACCATGAGGACATGGCTTATACCCACAAATACAGGAGGAACACAAAGCCAAGCAACACCGGAATACCCGCTGTTGTCTACATATGTGAATTATGATCCTTGATTCAAAGCATGGGGAAAACAGAAGCCATAGCCAAGTCTTACTGACACTGCTAACCTAAGCATTAGGATAAAATAGTATGCTGTCTCAAAACAGTAATGTGAATGTTGTGCAGAATGAAATCATGAATCAAGCACTGTCTACATCTTATCCCAGTACACCAAGATTAACAGGAGCTTTTCAGATGTGTTTTGGACTTACCTGAATACATGTATTTTATATATATATAAATATACTCATTAGTAGGCTTATCCTGAATTTACAGCACTAACCACGTTGCCTTAAAGTGCCACTGCACCAGGGTGGGGTTAATGCCTTGGTGTACCAATCAGTTGTTTTATGACTGTTGCTCATTCAGGAGTTATACTAAATGTCCGACTAGAAGCAAAAAAACCCCCCATACATCTAGAAACAATTAAATCTCTCAAATTTCCACAATGAACTTGCCAACACACACCCCCCAGGAGGAAAACAAGAACAGATCACTGCTTTCTAATATATCCAATTTCTGAAGAAAGAACCACCAAACAAATGGATTTAGAGAGCAACAGCTAAATACCGAAGTTTGCATTTTAGCCTAGATGTAATTATCTAACCATTTCTAAGCACAGTAGAGCACTATTAAAAGTCCTGTATTTTCAGAAATTGTCTATTAACCACATCACCCAAGTATAGACAAAGTTAGTGCTCTGGGTTTTGCTCTCGTTTTTAAAAGGAAAAAACATTTGGGGGGGGGGGGAATTTTGAAGTCCAATAAGTTCTGAACTGCAAAACAACTTTGAACATAGCACACGCTTCAAATAACACACTCCTCTTAGCTCCCCTAACAAATAAGGAACACTGACTCAAAATTTGCTTAAGTACCAAAATCAAAGACTGGCAATCTATAGTTGCATGCAAGCAATTCTCCTATGTTCTAGTGTTCACTAGTAGCTAAGTTACATCTCTCACACAAAAAACCAAATCCAGTTTTCCTTACAGGTTGATTCCTTAAAAGCTCCAATCACATATTATGCTTTCTTACTTCCTAATGTAAAAACAACCCACATACAAATAAGTGGGATTAAAGCGTGATTCAGCTGCTGAATCTTAGATAACATAGTGCAGAAGACAAAAGAGATAGAAGTAAACTGAGCAGTTAGCCATGGCAGAACCTGCCCAGTAGAAATCTGCACCTTCGAGACACATTTCAAGTGCTTCACAGAAAAGGGTCTCCAAGAAGGACAGCCACAGCAACCTTGAACCACTACCCTGAACTTTCAGTGGGTTTTCCAGCATCATCTAGAACTGATGGGGGAGTTGAATTTGGTATAAAACCAATGTCAAGGTTTGGATACGGCACTAACTTTCACAGAAAGTATAGGACAGCATGCTGCTGTGGTTTAGCACCAGCCAGCAAGTAAGCACCATGCAGCCGCTCGGTTGCCAATCCTCCAGGTGGAATGGGGGAGAGAACTGGAAAAAAAACAACTCTCAGGTTGAGATAAAAACAGTTTAATAGGACAGCAAAGAAAGAGGAAATACTACTACTACTACTACTACTACTGATAAAGGAATGTACAAAAACAAGTGATGCACAATGCAACAATCGCTTACCACCCAGTGATCAATAGCCCATCCCTGAGCAGCAATTTCCTCCAACTCCATTTTTATATGCCGAGCATGACATTATATGGTATGGAAATCTCTTTCACCAGTCTGGGTCAGCTGTCCTGGCTGGACCCCCTCCCAGCTCCTTGTGCACCTCCCCGCTGGCACAGCATGGGAAGTTGAGAAGTCCTTGACTTGGTATAAGCACTACAACTACTTAGCCACAAGTAAAAACATCAGTGTGTTATCAACATTATTCTCATACTAAACACAAAACATGGCACTCTACCAGCTATCAGGAAGAAAAGTTACTCTGTCCCAGCCAAAACCAGGACACATGCCCACCCTCAATTTCTCCTAACTAGAGAAGAATTATCCATGACAACTATCATTTAAGAGCTTCAGTTGCTGTATTTATACAAGTGATAGCAAATTTGCAGATGACACCAAGCTGAGTGATGTGGTTGACATGCCTGAGGGACAGGATGCCATCCAGAGGGACCTGGGCAAGCTCCAGGAATGGAGCCATGGGAGCCTCGTGAGGTTCCACAAGCCCAAGTACAGGGTCCTGCACCCAGGCTGGGGCACCCCCCAGTATCAATACAGGCTGGGGGATGAAGGGGTGGAGAGCAGCCCTGCCCAGAAGGACTTGGGGGTACTGGTGGATGAAAAGCTGGACATGAGCTGGCAACGTACACTCGCAGCCCAGAAGGCCAACTGTACCTTTGGCTGCATCCAAAGCAGCGTGGCCAGCAGGTCGAGGGAGGGGATTCTGCCCCTCTGGTCTGTTCTGGTGAGACCCCACCTGGAGTCCTGCGTCCAGCTCTGGAGCCTTGTGGAGAGCTGACGCTGGATGGATGTTAGGTGCCCACCAAAGCCTGCACTGCAGGGGCACAGCCTGCCTCACCATGGTCTTCACCACAGGCTGCAGCAGAATCTCTGCTTCAGCACCTGGAGCACCTCCTGCCCCTCCTTCTTCACTGACTTTGATGCATGCAGAGATGCTTCTCTCACATGTTCTCAATTCTCTCTGCATCTGCATGCTGGTTTCCCCCCCCCCTCTTCTTAACTATATTATCACAGAGGCACTACCACTATCAGTGATGGGCTTGGCCTTGGCCAGCAGCAGGTCCCTCTTGGAGCCAGCTGGCATTCGCTTTACGAGA